AAAAGACTTGGATGGTGAAAGATCATAGTAATGGAATCCTAATTGATTGAACAACCATGAGAGAAGATTGCGCTCTGAGCTCCATCTGGTATTGTTTTCTTTTTAAGCGTTTCATGGGCCAAATTAATGCATATCTTATTACAGGCTAATGCATTTTATGCATACTTAGATAATTTGGTTCTGATGACGCACATTATTATCAGGGAGAATTACACTCCTTATCGTTTGGGGTATTTGCATTTATACCTGTTTTTTGGGTCACGTTTTAACTTGTGTCCGCTTTGCAAAAACAATTGCAAGCGTACCCACTTTTTCGCGTAACTTCAGCATACGGGGCTGAAGTAGCAAAGGCAATCACGCAAAACTTCAGCATTCTAGTAGACGGGACTGAAGTAGCAAGTGTGCTAAACTAAGTGTGTTGAAGTTTTTGTTTGTAATTGGTGAACTTCAGCTCTAGAGCTAAAGTTTTTGTTTGTAACTGTCAAACTTCAGCTTTAGAGCTAAAGTTGAGGAACTTGCTAAGAAATCTAAGTGGATGAAATGCCATAAATGCAAACACGTTGTGCAGAAGGCTGATGGTTGTAAACATATAACCTTTTGTATCAAACTTGCATGGACAATAGGCTCTCATACTACCATTCAAAAAAAAAAACTTTATACTCCAATTCTTTACCAGAAGAACTAAAAGAAGCCAATAATCATTGTTATATTTTCTAAGATATTGATTTCTCGCATCTGGGTATAGTTCTTATGTTCTAGCTTCTGTGAATAACCAAGGATCATCTTTGTATTCCGATTTCTGAGATTTTGGGTTCGTGCTTATGTGCATAATTCCAATAGTCAAGGCAGATGGTTGTAAATATCTAAGTGGATGAAATGCCCTAAAAGGTTTCTATCTCCACAACCCATGTCAATTACTGGAACATTTTCACAATCAGCAACTTCAGAAAGGAGTGCCTATCGGATTGAGGGCGGATATAACTTTGAGGAGGAGAAGGAGGAGAAAGTGGGATGAAATTGTTTAAAAAGTGGGTATAAGTTAAAACTTTTTAAAAAACTGGGTATAGGTTCCCGTGCAATTTTTACTTATCGCTTGGCACAACAACCCATCAGAAAATGGCTCACGTTTGAAGCCCTTACCTAGTGTAGTCCAGGTACTTTTCACCAGTTAGTCCACCCTCTTTTCTTCGTTCTTCTTCTTCCCGTGTCACGCCTTTGCACTCCAAAATTTCTCTACCATTGTTATTCTACTTCAATTCTTCTTCCGGATTCAAAGCAGATAATCACTATTTTGATGAAGAAGAAAACCAATTTGCAAGAGAATTAATTATTTGGAGTCATATGAAGATCACTTTCTCCATTGAAATGGGGAGAAATATGTTTATTGTCATGAAAATCTGATTTAAGAAATTGGGTTTTTTCCATTTGTTAGTTGTTTAGAATGAGTGTTGTCCCAATTGATTGGAATCATCAAGAGGAGTTCAAAACTTAAATTTCAAGTGATTTGGAATAGATTTAAGCTAGATTTGAGTTAAATTTCAGAAGATGCCCAAGGAAGAAGAACCCATGAAGTTCCATTGATAGGATTCATTTGTATAATAATGTATAAATAGTGTATAAATAGTGTATAATAGAGTATAAACACCTCTTATACACTATTGTATACAAGGTTGATACATTATTTACTGGTATTGTGAATTTCTCTCATTTTTTTATACACCTCTATACATAGTGTATCATGAATATTTTCACTACTGTGATTATATATCTTTATACACTTTTATACAACTATATACATAATATACCTCTTTGTATAAAAGTGTATACGCATATCTGACGAACTTTTTGTATGATTTTCACTTGCAATTCTTGTATAAAACTAGTCCAAATCTCCAGCAAATAACTTCAAAGTTTGTATACAACCTACTTAGACTATTTCTAATAAGTTCAAACAATACCCACTCCAAATTTCTCACAAAATCATATTCGAAATTTAACAAGATTAACATTAAAGGAGATGAGATTTTAGGCTTCTGGCGTCTGTTTTTGCGTTTTGCAGTTGTGATAGGTATGTATAAACTTGAGGAAAAAATAAAATAAAAAACACGAATATTTCGTGCATGAAGATATACAAAATAAAAAAAACAAAAAAAGTAATTCGGAGAAGTATTGGTTATGGGAGAAGGCACGAATGAGTGTTGACTGAGTGTCTCGATCAATGATTGCACTAAAAATGGAAAATTAATTTTCGTTTTTATATTTGTTTGCATGTGATTCTTTTTTATTAATTATTAAATTAAATATTTATGGGTGGAAAATGAGGAGAGAGCTACAATAGGGGTAGGTAGGTGACGAAAAAAAGATAAGGTTGATATAATTAGAGGGAATGGGAAAAAAAAGATCTTATTGATATTTGGCTATACATTTGTAAACTTGTAACTAGGCTAAAATAGTACAAGGTCAACTTATGGAATGCATTATTCTGTAATTTTGTCTTATTATCATCCCTCGCATCTCAAACTTTCATTGCTTACTCGGATGCTAACATTTAAAATTGCAAGTTATAAAGCGTTACCAGTTGTATTATCATATTTAAGAGAGTTGGCTCAAGCATATCTTTTTGAGGATTATGATCCTCAAAATAAAACCTATATACAAGTTTGAATAGTTTACATTTCTCCTTTTCTATTGTTTGATATGTGCCAGAGGGCGTCAAGAATTCGATGTGCCAGCACACGCACAACCCCGAACCCAAAGTCTAGTCTATATAATATATAAAGTTGGGAAGGGAAGAGGTGATGTGGCACCTTCCATATATAAGGATTTCCATTTATTCTTTTTCCTGTTTTTTTGGCCTTTTCCTTTGTTTTCCATTTATTTATGTTCTCTATTACTATGATATAAAACTTCCATTTAACATTAAAATTTATGTTCTCAAGGATCGTGTTCTTCCAAAAAGAGTGGACAGTTACAACAATTAATTCTCATAAAAGTAGCAATTTGGATGGACACTCTCCTGGTTATGGAAAGGTTGCAACATTCAATACAATGATATCTGCTAAAGTAGAAAGAAAGCAATACCCTGCCTCTTCACACCCAATCTTTTACGCACTTCCTTTTCATAAAGTTCAACACTAACAAATTAAAGTGATATGAAAATATAGAAGAATTAGCTTTCGCTTCAACAGAAAAGAAGTGGATTGAATGAGGTTGTAAGTGAATTGGTAAAGGTACCTACAACCAGTAGTTAGTGAATGTATATTTATCTCTTAAAGAAGTTTCCATGATGTATTTGATTGGCTTCATTTGCAATTCTATACAAAACTTTAATCAGTTGACAAATTTCCTTGGATTTCTATTTGATTGTGTTCTTTTATTTATATTTAATATACCATGAAGGACGTCTTGTGCTTGAGCGACTTTTTTTTTTCTTTCTTTTACTGAAGTTTTTATTCATGTGGTGGTAAATTGAACTCAAATTAGTGAAAGAACGAGGAAATTGCAGGAGCATGTCCCGAACATTTTTTTCTTTTGGGCCATGGTGGAATCTCACTAATTTTGTGATTTATTTTATGTTCGTCTGCATTTCATTCCTTGAGTAGGATTTTTTTTATCTGTACACTCTGCCATCTGGCAAAATTATTTGGTTTATGATTGTAAGTTTGCATGTTCGTAAGATGTCATAGTAACCCACATTTAGTATGCATTTTTCTTTGAAGGCCATGGTGTGATCTACAAATACCTGTGTCGTCTATCTTCGTTGTTCACCATGTTAGTTGCTCTATCTTTAATGAAGTAATTGAGACTTTCTATGTGTTTATCATAACTTCTTATTACATCTAGATTATATTAGTTAATACTATACATAACACGTGTCAGAATGCTTCATCAGCCGGTGACTACTGAAGTCTAATGGCAAGTTTGTTAACACCGTATGATAACCGAAAGTTGATGCCTCTCTATGTCTTATGTCTTGATCATCCAGTTTAATTTTTTCTTTTTCGGCTTTCCGTTTTATAAATTGATGTTCTAAACGTCAACACCACACAAGAGGGGGGTGATTTGTGTGGTATCCAATTTTTCGATCTAGAAGAACCTGGTTCTTCTAGGTGTTCTAACTGCTACTGTTGCGGAATTAAAATTACAAAAAATAAAGAATACAGAGATTTTTACGTGGAAAACACATGGCTCAAAAGGTGAAAAAACTACGACCTACTACTCAGTAG